TATATATATATTTATATAATTATATTATATTAAAACAATTCTTTATTGAGATCCCATATGTAGAGTCCCATATACCTCTCAAGCTTCTGACAATTTGAACGTGATTCTTATCACGTCTGTAGGGTTTTCGGTAATTCCCTATTGAAATACAATGGGTACAAAATAGATACATTTAGAGCATATGACTGATAGGATTGCTCGGTTAAGTATTTGCTTGATGCCTATATTATATTGTAGTTAAAAGCTTATATAAATATATATATATATATATAGACTGTCCTTATAATAGACCTTATTGTGGCTCATATTCACGTGCATGTATCTAATATAAATAGATCATCTTATGGGTATGTTTATTACTACAGGGTATCTGGGCGCATCTGGGCTATCTGGCATATATTTCTATAGCTATGTATATCTGGTAGAATATCCATTCTGTTATTTACTATGAATTCCATCGAAATTAGACATATGAGACTACCATATGTATACATATCTTGATATTGGTATAAATCTAATGGATAGACTAACTCGGCTGTTCACATTTCTATATATCTTTGTATTATAGGGTAACTATGTGTCAATCAGTTTTTACTTGAAATACTCCTAAATGAATCTATATTTGCTTTTCCATGACAAATGACAGCTAGGATAGCTGAGGAATATGGATGCTTGGAATGGATTTGGTAGCCATAAATGTATTTAGTACAGGGTAACTATGCGCTCATCAGTTTTAGCTATCTTTTCATGTAGGCCAGTTAATATGCATATTGTATTCAGCTGTGCGTACTCGCATATTATTAAAGCTATCGACACGCGTCATTTGACTTGATTAGTACGCAAGGCAGCGAATTCCTCAGTTCCGATGTATACATGTATGTATATGTGTGCCTCTTACATACATACATACATATATACAACATATAGCGCCAATTGGCATACGAGTATTTGGTAATACATGCTTTGGATGCAATGAATTGGTAACTTATATTTTAATTTTATTTATTTATTTTTTTATTTATTTATTTTTTTTTTTTTTGTGGTTTAGCCTAATACGAATTGACGACCTTGCCCCTGAGCCTTCAGTTAGGGCGAGTTATCGCCCATACGTAATGGCAATTGAAATTAGCGTTAGCTACGGCTCTATTAATAGGTAAAGCTCAATTTCCATATAAGACTTCCTACACACAAATTGCTCCAGTAAAGCCAGCTCCAGATAAAGCAAAGCGAAGTGATTCGAATCAGGAATTGAATATTATAAAAGATTATTTTGAAAGATTTTTTTTGAAATCTCAAATGATTCGAGCCGATCCATAGTTTAGCTATCGAGAAACCTAACAGAAACTGCTCTAATTACTTTTCATATATCAATCAAAGCTCTATATAATCAGGTTACCGACTTTAAGACAAAGATTAAAAAAGATCAAACAAATAAAAATAGTAATAATATATCTGTGTTGTAAATACATATTTTTCTGCCGAATTCCCGAGTCCCATAGGCGATAAGCTAACCAAAAATCGTAATACTATTAAATCAAACTCGAGCACAAAACATTATCTGACCCGAACAAATTGGGTAACTGAAATTAGTTTTATGGGCCACAAAAAACCACATAAACTAATGAAATCATCAAAGAACTACGTTCCAGGGCAGCCAGACGATTTGTAGAGCCTAATCTTTACAGCGCTATAATCCAATTCAAATTTCAAACGAACAACAGTGTTATGATTAATTAACGATAAATAAAGTGTTTGTGCGACTAAATTCTACTGAGATATTAAGATATAGACTATGTGTCCATATCATATATGTATGTACATATATCAAGTATAGACTTTATCTTTTTTAACTGTAAGACGTCTGTCTTATTGCGCCTCAAATGAGTTCTTCCGAGGAAGTTTAGTTTGGTTTAGGGCAGTTATCACAGATGCATAGGGCTTGAATGTGTGGGCGGGTGGGACGATCCATTGCCAATGAAATGAAATTCAAGGAAACTTTTGTTTGTTTTTTTTTTTTTTTTTTTTTTTTTTTTTTTTTTTTTTTTTTTTTT